CATTCGTCCACTGGTACGTCGGCGAGGGCATGGAGGAGGGAGAGTTCTCGGAGGCACGTGAGGATCTCGCCGCCCTCGAGAAGGACTACGAGGAGGTCGGCACCGACTCCGTCGAGGGAGAGGGCGAGGGCGCCGAGGAGTACTAAATTACTCGTGCATATCAATTATCATTTTTGACGATTTTCTTGATCAGGAGCAAATGAAAGTTATTTGTTACGTGAAATTTTAAATCGAAGCATCATTCCTATCAAAGTTGATCATGAAATAAAAATTTTAGTACTTTGAAACTCTAAAATACTGATTTATTACTGCCACCTCTAGTTTCCTATTGTTCAGTCCTATTTTTATCCCGAGTTTTTTTTTCCACCAATTTTTCACACCGAATTATTGATTAATCGAGAATCTCGGCTGGTGGAAGAGGAGTTCAACAGTTGAGGGGGGGCTTTTCCCTCAGTTATCCTATAGGATACCCTCTCGTTTCATTATTGATCTACCCTTCTGTCTGACTCAGACTCCCGTCGGCCTATGGGAATCAGCGCTGAGGGCAGGGTCGAGTATATAGCGAGACACCGGCGTCACAGCCGCAGCAGTCGCGTTCAGTTCATTCCAAGTGGAACTTCGTTTTGTGAGGCATCATCACCGGCTTCTCGTAAACCCTCTCCAACAGTCGTTGCTCTGCTAACTCTTCAAAAATGGTAATTACACTCGTCAATTATTTCCTCACAGAAATCGAGAAGAAATCAGTCGATTGATTAAATGAATTTCTAATCATTTTGCGTCTTTTTTATTCAGCGTGAGTGTATCTCAATTCATGTTGGACAAGCTGGCGTGCAGATTGGCAACGCCTGCTGGGAGTTGTACTGCCTGGAGCATGGCATTCAGCCCGACGGCGAAATGCCGTCAGATAAATCCATCGGCAGTGGTGATGACAGTTTCAATACTTTCTTCAGCGAGACTGGAGCTGGCAAGCACGTCCCTAGGGCAGTCTTTATTGATCTCGAGCCAACAGTAGTCGGTGAGCAACACCTCCATTGTTCATTGTCCCCCTACCCTTCGCTTCCATCCCCTGGCGTCGGCCTCCTCATGACTTATTCATGACGATTATTTCTGGTTTGCAGACGAGGTTCGAACTGGAACGTATCGCCAGTTGTTCCACCCCGAGCAGCTAATAACCGGTAAAGAGGATGCTGCGAATAACTACGCGCGAGGTCATTACACCATTGGAAAGGAGATCGTGGATTTGGTTTTGGATAGAATTCGAAAACTCGCCGACCAGTGCACTGGGCTCCAGGGTTTCCTGATCTTCCACTCGTTCGGCGGTGGCACCGGCTCGGGATTCACTTCTCTCCTCATGGAGCGTCTCTCAGTGGACTATGGAAAGAAATCTAAACTGGAATTCGCGATCTACCCGGCTCCCCAGGTCTCCACCGCCGTCGTCGAGCCCTACAACTCTATTCTGACGACCCACACCACCCTCG